TCCGTACATGTCCATTTCCCAACGGAGGAGCAAGTAATTCTGTCGGGTAGCTTGTCCGCCGGACAAGCAGCTTTTAGAGCAATTTTTCATAATTTTCTAACCATCGGCTCGCGCTGCGTGGGAAACCTGTAGTGAACATACTATATTAACATGGGCTGCCGGAGTGCCACCCGAATTACACATATAGTATAAACATTTATGTGAAGTTTATATAAAAACGTTACCGCCCTTGCTAGCTCCACGAAACGGTCTTGCTAGGGTTAGAAGACCATCAGACCAATCAGTCTGATAGACAATCAGTGCGTACAGCCTCGTCCAGCAGCGCTACCGCCTGAGAGAAAGAGAGAAATTGAGAGAGAGAGAGCGAGGGGAAGAGAGTGAGAGAGAGCGAGAGCGCGAGAGAGAGGAAGAGAGAGAGAGAGAGAGAGCGAGAAAGAGAGAGAGCGCGCGAAAGAGTGAGAGAGAAAGAGAGAGAGATGACAACGAGGGAGAGTGAGTGTGAGCGAGCAAGAGAAAGAGAGAGAGAGAGAGAGAGAGTGTGTGATCAAGCGAGAGAGAGAGGGAGAGAGAGAGCGTGAAGGGAAGAGAGAGCAAGAGCGAGAGAGTGAAAGAGAAAGAATGAGAGACAACGAGGAGAGCGAACGCGGCGATGGGAGGGTGCTCTGATTCGTTTGCCCCGAGTTTAGCATCAGAATACCTGCCGTCAGGTGAGCGCTGTCGCTCTGCGGCACTTGTTATTACATATTTTGTGCCTAGAGTGATCATCCCATATTCTAGCTATAATTCATCAATGGAAAAGTAAAACATTCCAAAGTAATCTTTAGTTTAACCAGAATGAATGCCTATTATTTGGAGAGGCTTCTTTCAAACACTGTAAGAAAAATAACCTGAGTAGTGAGCATGCTAATTTAGTGTCACGTCAGTCACGATAAGTTATAATTTTATCCATATCTGACCTACACTTTTATCATTTTTAACTCACCTTGACATCGTCAAGTTGAGCTATTGCCATGGGTCGTCGTCCGTGTCGTCGTCCGTCGTTTGTCAACATTTGGTTTCGTCCAACGATAACTCAGGAACCGTTTGACCCAGATGTTTGAAATTGGGTGTAGTTGTTACTGCTATGCTCCTATATGGAACGTCCTATTTTGAAGCACGCCAGTCGATGTACTTTCGAGCCACGGCAATTTTTTGGCAAAAATGGGAATTGCCATTAGTCAGTTCAGGTCAACGGATTTCGCTCATTTTTGGTATGTGAATGAATAAGGGCTAGGGTTTTGCTATTTAAAAAAGAATTATGCAAATTAGGTAGGGTTTGGCATTATATAGCATATTATATAAACACAAAACAGTCTGTGGTGTCACACTCGTCTGGTTCGTTTTACAAAGATTTTATTGACATAATCTTTAATGCAAAATTGGTATTTCCTCTCCACTCTGCCGATAAACGTCTATATTAGAGTAAAGATTTACAAAACATGTCGGAACGCAGCATAACCTATTTATTTCAAGCGCCATCGCTACAAAGCGGTATAGCGCCAATCTACGGTCACAAATTGTGATTCATTTTGGTTTATAAATTATTATTGGCGATAATACAGATGGCAATCGTTTCTATAATGTACGTCGATGGTTGCTCTATTAAAATGACTTCTTCTTACTCACTCATTTGTGTCCTTTTTTGTGGTGAGCTACAGTGTCATTGACACTTTCATTGAAGAATACTCGTGATTCTCTTAGTAATGACCATAAGCTACCGAGAGTGATAAACAAAAGCTTTAATTATGATCAGGACAGGACACAGTATGCTACTGAAAACTGTCACGCCAGTCACAGTGTCACATCTGTCAAATTTTTGAGGTGTGTCACGTCAGTCACATATAGTTTTTATTTTCTATCTAGGATCTTAAGTTAAGACATATCTGCCAAACTTTTGTTTTAACTTTTAAAAGCGACCTCAGACCTTGCTTAAGACTTCTTAATTAGATTCGATAGACCTAAACTCAGCCACAAAATCCCCAAAATTCAGACCTAATGATTAACCTTTATTCCATCAAATCTGTTTGGTGTTTTCAAGCACAAACAGTGTCAAAAGACACTATCAGTCTCTGGGGTAGAAATTAACTTTTGAACAAGGTAGTCCGCAGTCTGAAGTTCAAAACTAAACGCATACATGTGCTTATTTTGAATTCAATGCCGTTGCATATCTACCAATTTTCTTTGGACATTGCTGAAAAAAATACGCGTAAATTCGCGTGGGAATAATAAGGAGGCCGTGTTCTGGACACGAACTAGTTAGTATAGCAGACTTTTCAGGGAGTCAACACTGCTCCTGCTTATGTCAATCTGGGAGTCCGACAGTAAATCACGGAGTATTTGACTCTGGACTGCGTGAAATTTCGCACCCTGCAGTCTGTCTACACACAGTGACACACAAGTTGTCTGCTAGCTCACAACAAAGTTAATTACAAGTTTACAACAACATTTGTCATTTCCAATGAGAAAATTACTCAAATGTATCTTTTTAAAGGTTGACTGAGTGCATATCAACACTGACCTACTTAAGCCAAAACACAAACATTTAGCAAGTGTTTTGTTTTTTTCAACAGTCATGGATCTTGAAGTGTGGAGGAAAATTAAAAATGGCAGCCGATTATAAGGTCTGAGGCCATCTTAAAGTCAATTTAAGACATCTTAGTTAATTTTGCAATGACTGAGAACCCTATTTTTTAAACGATGAATAATCTTAGGAGAATTTAAGATGTTCTGAACCTTAGCCAGAGCTTAAATTTAAGCAGCGACTGAAATATTCTGGTGCCTTGTATCCAGGGGAAGTAAAAGCAGTAAGAGACGAAGGATTGGAAGTTTCTGTTATTATCAGGGCTGGCAGGTTTTGGAAATTGCCAACTCATGAAGATAGATTTCTTTACTTTGCCGATCAATTAAGAAGAGGCTCAATCCTCCAGAATTGTAAATGCTCATGAAAACTATGAATTTCCTGGTTTTGGTTAATGATTGAAAAAATGTATTTTTACATATATTGTTTTTAATATCATTTGCAAATGGTGGAAAATGAAATGTTGTATTGTATCATTTCCAGCTAAGTTTGTTGTTTCGTGTTCTTTTTTACATTGTAAGAATTCTAACTGTATATGATTACCTTTTTATTATTTAACTGTTTGTACTAAACTGTAAGTTGCGTGATTAGTTGTCACGATCAGTCCGATGAATTTTGGTTTTTTTAATTGAATTATAATTGGAATTGATTGTTTATAATGTGTGTTTAATTGTTAATTCATTGGGTAATAAATAGTAAAAACTGCGATTTTTGCTGTAAACTTCAGACAATTGAAAATGATTTTTTTAGACAATATATCTTTTTCCGATTACTGTCACGTCAGTCACAGTGAGAAAGGTCGCCTATGTGCTGTGCTCTTTATTGATTTCTAAACTTTTGAATATATTAATTTGAAGAATCTGTCTGTACACCCTACACACAATAGCCTACACGACGAACCTTAACTCGATTATGTAGCTCTACACCCGATAGCGATTACTTACCGATTTATTATGCATGCGTGCGTGCGTGTGTATCATGTAAACGTGCGTGTGTGCGTGCGTGTGTATGTAAACGTGGCGTGTGTGCGTGTGTACGTACACGCGCGTTCGTGCTGTGCGTGTCGTGCGTGTGCAGTACACGTGCGTGCATGCGTGAGTGCGTGCGTGTGCACGTACATGTGCGTGCATGTGCACGTACACGTGCGTGTGTGCGTGTGTACCTACAGCACTGCGTGCATCGCGTGCGTGCGCGCGTGTGCAGGTACACGTTCGTGCGTGCGTGCGCGCGTGTGCAGGTACACGTTCGTGCATGCGTGCGCGCGTGTGCAGGTACACGTTCGTGCGTGCGTGCGTGCGTGCGCGCGTGCATGTGCGCGCGTTCATGTGCACGTAGGCGTGCGTGCGTGCATGCGTGTGCACGTACACGTGCGTGCGTGCGTGCGTGTGCACGTACACGTGCGTGCATGAGTGTGCGTGCGTGTGCAAGTACGCGTGCGTGTGTACGTACATCGTAGTAGTGCTGCCGCCTATCGTGGAGGTTAAGCTAACTCGAGTTAAGCATCTACACGGGGCCTTAACTCGAGTTAAGGCCCCGTGTAGACGCTTAACTCGAGTTAAGGTTCGTCGTGTAGACGTAGCTTAAATACTTGGCGGAAGAAGGTACTAAAGCTTAAAGTAAAAGTTGTCTAAGATCTGAGCTGAATGTTTAGAAATGACAAAAAATCTTACGTCAGTTATCGTGGAATTGGAACTATGTGGTTAGGTATCTGCTACATGAGAATGGGAGAAAATGTGTCAGCCTTACTTTACGCAGGGGTGGGAACAGACAAGTTGGCTAGGGAGCCAATGCACACGTACAAACTATGAAAACTGACTGGAATGATTTAGTAGGAGCAAGCAATGTAGAAGGCTATCAGTATCAGTACATATTTTGTGTCTTTGATGTAAACTCATAAATTGCTAATATGCAGATCTATGTATTATGACTATGCACATGATGTGTAGTTAATGCTGCCTCTATCTAACAGGATATTTCTACCTGCAGGCTACACTTGTAGCCACAGTTGTAAAGTAAACCTGTTGTATAAGATGAATAGAGAATTTAACTATATCGGTATATTCATCAGATTATACATGTATTCTTCCTGTTGTGGTGCACAATATTGCACATTCTGAGGTGATTTCTCTTTGTTATTTGATGAACATGTGTAACGTTGACATTTAACTGCATTAACAATATTAGCATTGAACACTGTATGACAAGGCGACTGATCAACCGCGTATGCTGCCGTCATTATATGAGCACCCCCTAAATGTCAGCAGTACACTAGGTATATTATATGTACCCATTATTTATGTAAGTACTGTATTGTATGTTCCATATACAATGGTATGTTATATGTTTCATTCTTCTATTAATGGCAGTTCTTTTGTGTTGTTAGGATGTTGGAGGGCAAGACAAAATCCGCCCACTGTGGCGGCACTACTACACTGGAACGCAAGGCCTCATATTTGTTGTGGACTGTGCTGACCGAGATAGAATAGACGAAGCACGGCAAGAACTTCATAGGATAATCAATGATAGAGAAATGAGAGATGCAATTATACTTATATTTGCGAATAAACAAGATTTACCAGATGGTAAGTGAGAAATTAGTCAAGTTGTCGACTGCGTGCAACACAGAGCATTTCATATATATATATATTAACTAGCTGGGCTACCCGGCGATGCCCGGGATTTTTTGGGGGTTACTGCTTTTCTGCTATTTCATGCGTTTTGTGCTATTGCTTTTGCGTTTCAGCATTTCATGCGATTGCCTGATTTTGAGCCTGACTATAGTTGAGCGCTATAGGATTGCTGTTCTAGGATTCGTCTTGACTTTTCTGCTGCAGTGTATAGTCGAGCGCTAGGATTGCTGTTATTGTTAACTTTTCTGCTGCGCTAGTATTTTTTTGGGGGTGGGTCAAAGGTCAAGATGTGTAAACCGAGGGGAAATATTTCCCCCTTAACCTAAGGTATAGGAGGAAATACGGAATTGCGGCACAAATCTGAACGGCTCGACCTATGCTCTTAATATTCGGTGTATAGTGTGATGGGCAGGAAACTGGTAGGAATGGGGAGGTCACAGATCAAAGGGCAGTAGGGGAAAAGTCAGATGTCAGACATTTTCTGAAGACGTGGCCTAACGGACAGTGTGAAAAACCTGTTTGTTTCAGCGCTGACCTACCATTTTTATCACTTTATTGAAAGGACCATGAAATGTGCTTTCCACTGACGTGCGAAGAGTAAGTGTCTGATAATCTTTTGACCCTCAAGAGGAGGGTTAAATATGATGTCACAGTGTTCTCATATTCATGGCACATCCATAATCTAGAAAGCCCATAAGCCTTGATAGCCCAATGTCTACAGCACAGGATTACGGCTCAAAGGTCCTTGGATCGAATCCCATCAGATTTTTTATTATTTACCTGTTTTCTGTATTTTTCTATCTTTATCCATTTAACTATTTTTCTCCAATTAACGCAAATATTTACATGATTTATTTACAACAATTTCATTACAACAAATAATTTTTACAATGAAGGTTAGGGTTTGGGTCACATTAGGTGCATTCACACTGGCACGAATTAGCGGGCTGCAAAACCCGGTTTTTGCAGCCCGCTCGAAAAACTGCGCTTTTTACAAGTGTGAACGCAATTGGCTCACTAAATCGCGCTCCAAATAGCGCGCTCTAAAGACCACTTCCGACTGGGCTAATTTGGAATCAGCGCGCTTATTTGCACCGCGGCGTGATATTTGCACCACGGCGATTAGCGAGATATTCGCCTGTGTGAACAACGACACAATTAGCTCACTATTATCTCCGCTATTAGCGGGCTGAGCAGCGCGGTTTTTCTTGTGTGTGAACGTGCCTAATGCACCATAAAACAGGAGTTTCAGGCACGCGATTTGTATCAACCAATGGGATTTGGTAGGTATGCAAAATGCAGAAGGTTGCCGAAATGATGTGTACGCAACTGCGTATCTGCATATAGATCTGCGCCTAACAAAGGTGTCACTACGCACGACTTACATGTTACGTTTATAACCGTAGCAACAGACCTCAGATGAGCCCAGACGCTCTGCGGCTCTTGTTGTATACCGCATCTCCTTAGCTTCATTGTTGACTCTAGATTCAAGCTGACTGAAATCATTAGCTGCTTGTCATTCACCAATGATCTGTTGCCTTGTGGAAGTAAAGTGCCAACACACTATTGTTCATGTTATTTTCATTCATTTTATCTAGTAATTGTCCCCTAAATGAGATTTAAAGGTTTCAGGTTTATGTAGTGCTTTATATTCCTGGTTCTTCACAGTGTCTACTAAGTTCTAGTCTCTAGGCAGGGAAAAATTGATTCCAACAATGCTTCCTGATTATAAAGTCACGCAGCAATAAGGAAGTGGATTTATCTGAAGACCCGATGTTCCATGACCAGTGTTATAATTCTTAGTGTCTTGACAATGTCAATGGATATTACACTGCTTTGGCAACTCTATGGCAGGCTTAATACAAGATTAGTTGGTCTGATATTGATATTAAGCCATATTGGCCTATACATGAGCATTTACGCCTTGACATTGCCATGTTTTCAGTTAATTATTATTCCAAACTACTATATAATTTGTCTCCTACTTGTTTTATTTGCAGTACAACAACAGCATATTAAACTAGGTTTGGCACACATAGTCTGTCTGAGAACTATTTTGATATTTAGAAGTGTCATGATGGTAAATGGCAGTTTTACTTTTGTATTTCTTTAATTGTTTGATCAGCTGTTTTATACAAGTTGAAGTTGGGTCAATCTGTGACGACGATACCCACCGTAGGCTTCAATGTAGAAACTGTAACATACAAGAATGTTAAGTTTAATGTCTGGGTAAGTACAAAAGCTGTTACTATTTCTGTGTATTTAAAAGTATGCCTGTGGTGGTTGAAATTAGCACGTGCAGACAGTCTCAGTGAGATCTTTCGTTTTTAGCTCATCTGACGTAGTCAGATGCAGCTTGTAGAATCGCCGGGGGGGGGGGACTCGGGATGACAAATTTGGGGGGTCAAGGGTCAAAGGTCAATTTGTGTAAACCGAGGGGAAATATTTCCCCTTATTTTTTTTTTTGGACCTTGCCTTTGGTCGTCGTGACATGCTGATTAAGAATATATATGGTGTTAGGGGTGAGCTCTTACGGGGGGGGGGAGAAGATAGACAGAAGGACAGACACAAAAACAGGCTCGCCCTTTATGTAAGAGATTTAAGAGGTGAATAATCTTTTACTATAAATTTCAGGTAGATTATGCATGGATTTAGCATAAACAAAAAGTTGCTTAATAAAATAATAGTTATGTATAAATGTAATTACAATTCTGGGATTAGCTCCTAGTCTAAAATGTGCAAAATAAAAGCTCAAAAGCACAACTTTGTCAAGGAAACAGCATAGTGTCATTGTATGATTGTAGCACACATTTTTATCTTTTATATCTAAATAGTAAACATGTCTGATAATAGAAATATGTAGGTGCTTAGTATTTACTTTTCTTTACGCAATACGTATCCTGATATAATCTCAAATTCTCACTTAAGAATACACTCGAGGTTTTATGCGAAATTTCATAGATTTTTCAGTTTCATTCTTATTTGATGGTTAACACTAGGTAGGTGCCACCTCTGTACATGCTTATTTCTCCATACATGTCAGGGTTCTCCCTACGTTGCGCAAACGGGGCGCGCGCGCCCCGTTTGGGAAAACTCCCCCCTGTTTGAATTTCATCCTGGGGAGAACCCTGCATGTAACGATGCATGTGAACTTTCAGAGCATTTTGAGTGCCCGCGTATGTGTGTAGTGAGCCATGACTATTTAAGTGCACTTGTTCTGATGATGTCAGAGACTTGATCAAACCTGTCTGTTCACGGGATTCATTATGGCAGAATCTATTAGCATTACCCTCTCCTATTGCCATCCACTGCCAGTGATAGTTGAAATTGCTGCGCGGTTGATAATACCGTAATAGCATTTATGCCTCGATCGTTACATAGCCCGGGTTTGTTGACACCATCACACGTAGCTTAGTGACGTCATGCAGTACGCAACGATTGCGAGTTTCAATTTGCGATGGTAACCTAGTATTTTCTCACCATTTTTCAAGGTGCACAGAACATTTTACCAATTTAGTGGTTTCAGTTAGTCATGGATATGTCCCAGTAAGTACTAACAGTAGATGTTACACATGCGTTCATACATTTTGCACACAGACAGTAGATCATTGTGAAAAGTAGAAATGTCTCTCTGTCATTACAACTCGGAATTTAGTTTGACACTTGTTTTAATGGTAACACATTGCTGTGAAAAGGCGCATCAGGGTTGGATATTAAGCGCCGTCTTTTATGAGTTATGGTTCTATATTTGCATAAATTTGCAATCCGATCATATGCCCTAAATTTTAGGCAGTTTTCTTCGTCAGATGCAGCTTGTAGAATCGCACGATCGTCCGTCCGTCCGTGCATCAACAGTTGGGCACAAATCTTAACTGCTCGACGTACGGTCACGATATTCGGGACGTCGGGGGGATCATCAAAACGAGTTGGGATGTCGAAGCTGGGGGTCAAAGTTCAAAGGTCAAGAGGTGTAAAAGAAGGGGGAACATTCCCTCCTTAACTTAAGGTATAGGGAGGAAATGCAGTTTGTGCCGCAATTTTTAGAAGCCTAGGTCGAGCCGTGCCCATTGACCTTTGACCTGTGACCTCCAATTTCGGCACAGTGATGGCTTTTCCTACCATGATGCTATACACCGACTATCACGCAGGGCAGATTTTAGACATTTTCTGAGGACATGGTCTGACGGAGCGATTGGAAAACTTTTTTGTTTCAGCAGTGACCTAGCATTTTTATGGCTTTATTGAAAGGACCATGAAATGTGCTTTCCACTGACATGCGAAGAGTAAGTGTCTGTTTGACCCTCAAGAGGAGGGTTAAACATTGATTTGTTGACTGTCTGCGTTATGAAAGAATTTGGCCTGCCGGGGTTTGCTAGTGTAGATAATCTATACATGCCTGTGTATGAGGCTAGCAAGGTCCACATGTAGAAATGCGGAAAGCCAAGTTTGGATTGAAGAAGGCTTTATGCTCCTTAAATCGTCTATTCAGATTTCTATGGCAATTTCTGTACTGTCAGTATGTTACATGTAACGTAATGCCACTGCCAGTGCATGTGGTGGTGGTACTGTGTAGTTTTTTGCCTGCGTTAATTGGTTACAGGTTGGCAGCTCTCTATTGCAGCCTGTGGGCTTGCGTAGGTAAATGGATGAGTGCTTACCTATTTCTGTCTTGCAAATAGTTTTTGCTACTACGTACGATGGGAGCTTCCATCTTTAATCTGAAGACACTTAAACGTACGCGCCATCTCGTGGCACTGTTTCGGCGTGTATGTGAACACATTTGGGACTAACAGGGTTTACTAGAATCCCACCACTCCACCACAGAGTCACCGCAGTAGACGTTAGATGAGCGCTGTCGCTCCGCGGCACTTGTTTTCTATAAATATCAAACTGAGAGAAAAATTATGACGTGAGATTTTGGTACGTATTGTGCTTAACGTGTGGCGAAAAATTTGTTTTCATACTCTGTGGTAATTGAGAAATATCCAAAATACCATTTTTACACAAAAACTCCAAAATTTGTGTTGTCACATAATTAGGTGCTGGAAATTTTATGAAATTCTTTGGCTTGAGCACAGAGATACATATCATCTATGAATAAAGTGTGGGATTGATTCGATTCATTGGTCAGTAAATGTTTATTCTTCATTGGAGCAATACCCGTGCAAAAGCTTGAGTGTATCCTTAAATGCAATGTCGTTTTTCTTGCCAAACTAAATCTGTTTCAAAAGAAATATTTGCTTATTTGACAAAAGGCTCATGAAAAACTCATAACGGTCATGCTTCTCATTCCTCCTCTCTCCTTTCGTGTGTCATGTTCCTGAACATTAAAATAAATAGTGGAATCAGTCGTACGTGCATTTGTTCCCTTTGATATGTCTATTCAGCATTTCAGCAAATTCAATTTGTCTTCAATTTGTTTTTGCTTTTTCTAGCGATGAAACCTCATGAAATCCAAGAGAAACTTGGGCTTACACGTATCCGAGATCGCAACTGGTACGTTCAGCCTTCGTGCGCGACGACAGGAGATGGTCTTTTCGAGGGGCTCACATGGCTAACATCTAACCACAAATCATGAGGTCCCTAGCAACTTAACAGAGACGTCGCCGTGTCCTCTACATAATTGCGAGCAACAGGGAGAGCCAGGTGGACAAGAGACGTTTTATGTAGCGTTTTTGTTTGCGGCGTTGGTTGCGTTTGTATTCGTGTACCGCAGCATTCCATCCCTACGTGTGTGTTACTGTAATTCCATTGCTTCTTGGCTGCCATTATCTCTTGGCCCCTGGTAACCTGGCCTATCACACTAACTTTAAACACTTAGGATGCATCATTGGCTGTAATAGTTAAAAGAAATAGCCCCATGCAGTGATGATATTCAATTGTATATTTGAGTTAATATACTTGAGGCTGTAAGGATCCTATATTTGAGATAAAAATGTCATTTAGTTTCTAGAAATTCAAATTATAAATTGTACAGCAGATGTGGTTATTATAATTATTATTATTATTATTATTATTATGATTATTTTACGGGAGCAATGTTCTCGACGTAAAGTATCCTTTAGATTTTATTTGGCAAGAATTTGTGGTTGTTGAATTGGAGATGCTTTTCTTCCCCATCTCCACCACGTGTCTGACTGCTAAAAAATCTCTATAGCTTAAGCTTCTGCACTCGGTAATGGGCTCTCAACTGTAATGATACAAGGCTAGTAGCAACGCCCATAGCCATGCTGGGCAGTCAAAGCATGTTTATCTTTCGTAGGTCAATACTTTGCCTGCGAGTTTGATAATGATGACTTAAGCAAACGTATGATTTTGTCGTTTCGTACAAACGTAAGGGCTCTTGCGTTTTGCTTAGTCGCCACCTGGTGGCATAGAGGTAGATCAGGAGGGTGTTAAATGGCGATTGCATTCTCCTAAGATGCGCAATTTTGTATTTTTGTTGCTGTACATATGCGCAAGAGGTGAGTCGACCGCTTGTCAGTGTTAGGAGACGACGTTACATAGGGAAGGTGAAAACAGTAGCTCGATTTTATAACTAAAGCATAAGAGATCGTCTCTCTCGAACGGCCACGAGGTGACATGGGAGGCAGCCGACAAGATATGAATGGAAACTCAACGTAGATGAGTCGTGTATAGTCAGGAATACTAACATACGATAAGTTCATATCTTGTGTGTGTACGTATGGAAGTTGCTTTACGCTGCCTTACCCATGTGAGTGATGCCAGCCAGCCCTACACTGTGTTGGAATTTTCTGCATCTTGTATCCGTAACGATATAGTTGATGCATCATGGCCACTATATCTCTACGTGTATATACAATAATTTGATCAGATTAATTTTTTAGCTTGTTGCATTCATTTGTGATCTGAGGTGTACTACTGCTGCTGCCCGAGAGAGCAGTAAAGTCATCAAAGTCATCAGTTGATACTAAACATGTCTGCATTTATTGTGTTATGTTAGACAGTTTTGCTGATTTTCAGCACTGGGTGATTATTTTGTCGGTCGTTTGTCTCACCGAAACTCAGACTAGCCCTTGCCACAAGCTGCAGAATTTTCAGCAAATCTGATGATATCCAATAGCTCAAGATAATGCTCACTAAACTGGCAAGCTCCTGCACTTGCCATACCAGACAATGAATAAGACGACCTGCTAAACTGCAGTGCCGGTAAATGTCTCTTTGACATATATAATACTGCTGCTTACAGTTTGAAGCTGTTGTTGTTTATTATAAAAATGCTTAGATCCTGCACACGTGATACCATGGTAAAAGCGATATTATTTGCCTGCCATGAAAACGTTATGGGGCACATTCTCTAATTGATTTATTGTAGATCGCCGGTTCGGGTGAGGTCAATAGTGTGCAGTCAGTGCTGCTCAACTTTGCATGCTCGGGTATTACCATTTGCTACTGGTAATAACCAACACCCATTATGCTCTCATATCAGTTAAACGTTATTTTTAATCTCGTCATGCAGCATGTAGGTAGTCTCAATTTTAACTGCATTATGAACGTGGTCAGGTTGTTTGCTGGCTAACGTTGCCCTCGTTATATCCATTTGTCAATAGACACACATATGGACAACTTGTGACTAGCTTTGAAGAGTCCCCCACCTTAATGTAACATCTCAAAAGTAATGATTTCTAATAAAATGGTTATAAAAACCCCTATTAACATTTTCATGTTGTTTATTGAGAATGTAGAGGAATGTCATTGTTATCGACTAGCATCAAATTGCTAAGAGTTTGGCTTATATGATGGCTTATGCAATGGTGCATTCGAAATTTTATTGACATATGAATGTCCAACCAAGATCACCTTCTAGGCATTACTGCAGTCATCTTTAAACCGCTATATTTTCACTAGTGAACTCGAATGAACACTGAAACTAATCAGTAACATAATTAACAGATTGTCTCTTACTTATGGCACTAGTGTCGTGGTTTCAATACCTTGCATGGTTATCACTAATATCTATTAAGTTGCCCGATTCCTATTATGTTGATGTTTCCATCACGCTATATATGTAATAATAAACAGCAGGAAATTCTAAAAACAAATGTACAATGACACTGAACTGTATGTATTTCACTCAAATAATATACCAAGAAACGAATGTTTTTCAGTATGTGCCATTTTTAAAACATTCTTTTCAGATATCATTTTAAACATCACGTATTATGATTGTTCCTGAAAATACTCCAATATATTAAATTGCCTCGTGTTAAAAAAGGTAAGCTACGGCCAAGTTAAAGGTACGCATCTCAATCCTTCAAAGGCTACGATAACCAGTTACTATATATATGCACATAAGTAAAGTGAACTTACACATACACAAGTATTTGTAGAGTAAATTATTCTGCTGCGTGGTATTTGAGCATGAACTGAACATGGGAGACAACATTTAATTTAATTCTATATAACCTTAATATTTATATTAGTCAATTATGCATGAATGAAATTGGATTGAAGTACACCACATCTAATGCACACAATTACAATTCATGAGCTTTGTGGACCAGTTTTCTCACAATGTGACTATTTGACTGTGCATTTTACAATTACACTGTAGATGTGAATACTACTACTAGTGGTGGGTGTTTTTTATGCTATTCCAGTAATGGTCTATGTAGTAGCTGGACTTCAAGAGTAGTCACAAAGTGAAATTTAAATAGTGTAAAATGCAGTGACGATCAATGCTAAACTTCACAAATGCAGCACATGCTTGCAGTTCCCATTACAATGAACACATTGCATATCAGTAAACAATACATTAATTGATGTTATTCATACGTAGTACAATAACTAATAATGTTCAAAATGACAAACAAGCCTTGCCACAAAGTCAAACACGTGAAAGATACAACGATCTAATGACCTTTTTAAAATATAGAAGCACTAATGCTGATTAATCAGCTTAGTCATGTAATAAAGGAAACAAACTTGTGATATGACATATTGCAGCATAAAAAGCAATTAATTAAATAAACGTTATATACACATACAATAGAGTAACATCTATGCTGTTCATGGACACTGACTATTGTGTTCCAATATTATATGGATCAAGTTTAACCAATATTTCAAGCGTCTTTTACTGACGTCTGTTGCTGAGAAACTTCATCAATGGTAGGTTTGCCTGCAGTATGGCTTTCACTGTGTTCTGTCTTGGAGACTCCAGTCTGCAGAGAACCAAAATTCTTATTTAATAAATAAATATCCTAGTCTGTATATGTCTGTATGTTACTGCATACCTGGTAATTTAATTGTGATAATTAATAAAGCAGTGCCTCATAAGCCCTTTATTGATCAATACTGGCCAAAATCAATGCTATTATAACAGATTACGTATACAGAGAAAGATAATTGTGTTATGTAAAATCACTGTAAATTTTATAGCCAGTTTTTCAAAAATAACTGATCATGCTAAATGTATTAATAATGGTTTAAACTCTTTAAAATTTGCAACACAAATTTACACACCACTGTTGTTAAACACATATTTTTCTAAACATACATTTTTCCAACGTTGAAATGAATAATCTTCTATGTCGTGTTTAGAGTATAGTGCACGATTGCTTTTCCTTGAATGGATTTTCTGACTGTGGGCCTCCATTCAACAGCCAGTCCACTGCTGCATGCTGCTCACAGTATGACTGCAAACTGTAAAAACAAGAGATGCACATACTTTATACGAAGTGGCTATATGCCCGGCAGCCGGGAACGGTCTTCGATTTCCTAAATGCCAAGCAGTTTTTAATTTTCGGTGTTTAGTTAGAGCTGTATATTCGAACTAGCCCAATTCTCCTAGCTTCGGATCACTGAGCGAACGAACTCGCAATCGACACTTGGAAAATATCCGACGGCTGCCGGGCACGGTCTTCGATTTCCTAAATGCCCGGCAGTTATGAATTTTCGGTGATTTCTCAAGTAAACAGGAGGGTTAGGGTTAGGGTGCCAGGCATATAGCCACAGCGTACTTTATACCTTCAGTGCTTCACTCAGCAAGGGATGAAGGCTCAATGAATTAATCCTAGATTATTTTTTTTTATTTATTTATTTAGGCAATTATCCATCATATACAATACATTGCATACTTTTACAATAAAAATTTGAATTCATAAAATTGGATAATTACCAAGGATATATACATAAAAAGCATGACTAGCACACTTATTTACATTGTGGTCCTTGTTTTGCTATGCCTTAATTGAATCTAACAATTGTACTACTATCAGAACCAACTATTGAAATATAGAGATTTGTAGTTTTAATCGGTCATACAATGGTACATTTTCACAAGACGATACAAACTTTTCTTATGACTAATTTCAACCGAATTCTTTTAATGAAAAACATACTCCTCTGCCTCTAATGATTCTACCTTTTCCATCAGACATTTCTTAACACTATACTTAAAACTAGAATAAACAGAATTTGTCCTAACTTAATTGCTGTGGTAGAGAGTTCCAAGCTTCAATTGCAGTATAAGTAAAAGAGTTTTTCCCACTGCTTCCCACCCTCGGTTTAAAAATAGACATCTCACCTTCCCTTGTATTGAAACTATGGACTTCTGACGTTAACATGAAACCTTCTGTCATATACTGTGGGCCGAGATTATGTAATATTAGGATTATTAGCACACCGGATTAGTCAAGTACGTTTGCGAAAATGAGGGCCGGGCCGGGTCCCAAACTAGGAGTAGGATCAATATAGCAAAACGCCATTAAATGATTAATATTATTACGCAGTACTAGTACTAGCAGTAGTAGTAGTACCTACTAAAATTTAATTAGTTTAATTAACAATATTTTTTCTCATATGACATATAGACATCGGAAACATATAGGCCTATATCAATTATCATTATATGAATATGATATAATAATTAATATGAAAAGATACGAAAAAGCCATGTTACTGTTCGCGTTGTTTGTGTAGAGTAATTACCAGAGAATGCAAGCCAAAACCCCACCCTGGCACCCAGAGAGAATGCCTAGCACCTACCATTGGCAATTTGGCATTGTACCAAGTCTACAGTCAGACTACACTGCCAGTGCCACTGCCGGGGACGGCTTTACAGTGAGTTTACTGCTGATTAATATGGATCGATATTGCCATAAATTACTATAATGAAATGACTTACTCTGCAATGGCTTGAGAAACAGGAATCCGCTGTATACTAGCTTCTTGCTTTAGCTGCATAACTTGCTTTTTCATTGCCTGAACCTGCGACATTTTTGCTTTATTCCGTTTGGTCCGACGAGGAAAAGATGCTCAGCTTCCCTATCCCTGATCGATGCGGGATCTCGCGTGAATTCGTACAAGGGCCAGTGCATCCGGGTATCCTGTGTCTGGCGTACGTGTAGACTGGTACTCGCTCCCACCTCGATTACTCGATGGGTGGATAAGTGGTGTGGCTCTAAGCCGATAGGTGGGACCGGGTACCAGTCTAACGCATAGGGTGTTGCTATGGGCTGAGAACAATATATACAGAGAAGTGAAACGGATTGGTTATACGTGATCACGTGCCATGGTGCCATGTTTATGCGTA